ATTCAAGATCATATTTTGGCTCTCTTGGACTTGTTTTAATTGTCTTTAACTTCAAGTGGAATTTGCATATGAGCAGTTGATGGTCTGTTCCACAATCAGCAAAAGTTAATCTGCATCACTTAACTCCCATTTTTCCCAAGTTTCTGACTTCTCTGTATAGAAGCCACATCTCAAAGGATTTATTTTTTCTTCCTCACTCATTTAATTAATATATAATGCATCACTGTTATTGTTTGGTTCTCTCATTTTTGTTATTTTATGACATCTTTTGGATTACCTTACCATTTATAATTTTGTAAAAAAATAATCTGAAAAAATACAGCTTTTCATTTTATAAATGCTTGATAAATATATTAAGATTCCAAAAACAATAAGGCTTTAGCTCTTTTTTGATAACCTTTTTACTCGATAAAATTCAGCATTGAACAACATATATGTGGCTTCAAGTAATCTTTCCATATACATCCCAAGAGACTTTTGACCCATGTAAAAGGTTTTCTTCTTGCTTATGTTGAAGAATATTCTATATACTGTATAATAGCATTAAATGTTTTTTTCATCCTATGAAACAGAAAACCTTGACATTTTATATAATCAAGAGCAGAGTATATTGAAATTGTCTTACTGATCACCAGAAACTTTGTAGACCATGTACAGCAGTGTTCTCAACTGGGGATTTCCATTGGAATCACCTGGTGAGCCTTTTTCAAAATACCACCTTCAGTCAGCTTGGAATACAGTCTGCATGTGAGTTGTTTGAAAAAATCTCCCCAGGTGATTCTAATAGATTTAGACTGAGAAGTCTTGTTCGAAACTCACATTGGAATATAATTTTAAAAACAAGCAATTAGTGAAACTTGTTTTTTTCTGAGACAGGGACAAGAAGAACAACACAATTAAATAGAAGTCTGTGGTTCTGAAGACCACATACAATTCCTGAGACAAAATACTAGGTATAGCATGAACAACCCATGAGTGAATAAAATATGAATTTCAGAGAAGGATAAACTCATATATGAGTAGAACTATCCTAAACATGTTCATGATAAGATGGGATATGTGATTCATCTGAAAAGGGAGTAAGAATTAAAAAATAAGGGATAGTGTAATTTGATAAAGAGATATTTCTTCTTTGGGGACATGATTTTGTCTGAATGGGCTATAATGTATTATGGGGAATTAATCTTAAATACAGATACGTGATAATTAAAGTTGGGTGTCAACTTGGTTGGGCCACAATTCATTGTGGTTTACCAGTTATCATGTAGTTGACCTCCATAATGAGATGTGATATAATGTAATCACTTCCATGATGAGCTCTGCTATGAACATACAATCAGTTGAAAGGGCATTTCCTTCAGGATATGGCCTGCATCCAATATATATAGAAAAGCTCTGGCAAAGTTCTCTGGCTTCTTGTGTAATCTGGATCCTGCCTCTGGTTCATCATCATCTGACCTCTGGTTCTTGGACTTGAACCAGTGGCCTGACGCATTGTCTGTTGATCTTGAGATTGTCATGTTGTTGTTTTTGTTATGTGCCCTTGAGTTGGACCTGACTCATAGTGACCCCTCCTTGGGTTTCCTAGGCAGTATGACTACGGAAGTAGATTGCCCCATCTTCCTTCCTCACAAGAATCCTGATAGGCATTCATGACTATTATCTTCCTAATTTTGCTAATAAATAAATTGTGGTTAAGCTTCTTGCTCAAGGTTACCTAAGTGGTGGCTACCTAAATGGAGCATGGGGCCTTCAGATGTCATATTTCTGAGCTTTTCATTTCTCCATACCTAATGAGGTTGTTTACTAGAGCTTCTTAAGGAGATGGAATCTATTGGTTTATAGATTAATAGTTTTAGCTGAAGATGAATAAAACATGATTCTCAGAATCTGAAGGTATAATTCAAGGAAATTATAATTCAAGGAAAATGTGTATCATTAGCAGTAATAGGCAAATATGGAGTTGCTAACTAACTTGTCAGGAGCTCTGCTGGCATAGTGCCTAAGGCACTTGACTGCTAACCAGAAGGCTGGCGGTTCAAACCCACCAGCCACTCCTCTGAAGGAAGATGGGGCACTCTACTTCCATAGTGATACTGCCTCAGAAACCCAAAGAGGTCGCTATGAGTTGGGTCCGACTCAACGGCAAATAACAACAACAACTAACTTGCCATTTTTTGAGTACAAAGTTGGATCTGATGAACTTGAATTTGACCTTTGTTGTTGTTGTTAGGTGATGTCTAGTCAGCTCTGCCACAGCAACTTTATGTACAACAGAATGAAACACTGTCTGGTCCTGCACCATCCTCATGATCCTTGCTATACTTGAGGCCATCCCTGCAGCCAGTGTGTCAATCCATCTCATTGAGGGTCTTCTCCTTTCTTTCTGCCCTCTATTTTACCAAGCATCATACCATTCTCCAGGGAATGGTCACTTTTGATAACTTGACCAAAGTTGGTGAGAAGAAGTTTCACTTCCAAGGAGCATTTCAGCTTCACTTCTTCCAGAACAGATTTGTTTGTTCTTCTGGTAGTCCATGGTATTTTTGGTATTCTTCGCCAACACCATAATTCAAAGGCATCCACTCTTCTTCAGTCTTTCTTATTCCTTGTCCAGCTTTCACATGCATATGAGGTGATTGAAAATAGCATGGGTTGGGTTAGGTGCACCTCAGTCTTCAAAGTGACGTTTGCTTCTTAACACTTTAAAGAGGTCTTTTGCAGCAGATTTGCCCAGTGTGATGTGATGTATGATTTCTTGACAGCTGCTTCCATGGGTATTGATTATGGATCCAAGTAAAATGAAATTCCTGACAACTGCAATCTTTTCTCCTTTTATCGTGATGTTGCTTATTGGTTCAATTGGGCCAGGTGGTTTTGGGATTAGTGATTTAAAATTCTCACATTAGCTTTGTTTAATTTTGATGGAAACCAAACAAAACTAAACTCACAGCCGTTGAGTCTATTTGACTCATAGCGACCCTTCCTTGGGTTTCTGTGACAGTATCTGTATAGAAGTGGATTGTCCAATCTTCCTTCCGAGGAGTGGCTGTTGGGTTTGAATCACCAGCCTTCTGGTTAGCAGTCAAATGCCTTAGATACTACAAGGCCAGAGCTCCTCTTTTTTTTTTTTTTTTTTTTTTGTAAATGTAGTATCCAGCTACAATCCAGAGGATATCCAAACTCATCATGACCTCAGGTCAAAACATTTCAGATCATGCCAACCTGCTTCTGTTGTGCCTTCTCATACAACTTTCAGTTCACTCTTGCAGCAGATACAGAATGCTTCCAAGAGCAGGCTTTGATTTATTTTGGTTCTTTTTATGTGTGCTAAGACTATATTACTAAAGACTTTGCAGTTCATTTTATCTCCTGTTCTCTTTCCCACCCCCAGTTTCTCTTTTTAAAATTACACATCACAGTGGAGATTTGTATCAGGCTATTAGAAATATGATACTAGGGAGAGAGAAGCTGGAGGATAAATTAACAATATAAATTGGGAAATAATCTTCTACTTAATGGATGTATTTGGAATAATAGAAGTATATATGATTGCTCAATGAGAGTTTTGATTGAAAATCTTTTTCTCCTGCAGAGCTAGTCATAGCAGTCTTATCAATTAAAGAAACTTCTGGATGTGTGTGTGAAAGACTTTCTGATAGTAATGATGCGGCTTATTCTTTATACGATAGGATGATTATTAATATGTGCTGGTCACCTGCAATTTATTCTATGATTGTAAAACACCAAAAAAAAAGGAAATTTTGTGTTACCAATATGTGTTACATAGCTGTGTAATGTTTTTCAGTCACATATTAATGTCTAAATACATGGAAAACTAAGATTACCAACAACTTAAATCCTCAAAAAATGCAGTTCATTAAAACTTAACAAGTGAGATATTCACTAAAGACATGAATTTGTGAAATACCTATGCTTTGTAATAATTTTAATATCTCATTGAAATGTGGCCAGTGAGGTGAGAGAGAGAAAACATAAATAGGAAATGTGATCCCACTGTTATATAGATTGCTCCTAAGGAATAATTAATTGGTTAAACAAATTTTATGATAATTCATTGTAGGGGCTTTAAATTTAACTTCATATTCCAAGCAAATGTACACATTCCTTTTCAATCTAAATAACAAATTGTTAGTGAGGAGTATTACTATTCTTCTTTTCCTTTTACAGATATGAAAAACTAGGTCTCAGAATGAGAATATTACTTGCCCGTTTTACTTGTTTCTCAACTGTCCTTCTAAGCATGGATTTTATCTCTCCTCATCCTTTACTTCTTAGTGTAGGAAAAGTAGAACATGATATTCAGAAGTCTACTGAAACACAAGTTCTTAATTATTAGCATTTGATGATGACTGTAGTACACATAATCTGGGAGAATTTAAACATAACAAAAATGTTTTAGCCACTTATTCATGTTATAGCCAAATGACTTGAAGCACTTACTGATCAAGATCAAAGATTACAGCCTTTGGTATGAATTATAACTCAACAGAAAGAAAACAGAAATCCTCACAATTGGACCAATAAACATCATGATAAATGCAGAAAAGATTGAAGTTGTCAAGGATTTCATTTTCATTTCATTACTTGGATCTACAGTCAATACCCATGGAAGCAACAAAGACATTGATGTATTGCATTGGACAAATCTGCTGCAAAAGATTTAAAATCTCTTTAAAGTATTAAAAAGCAAAGATGTCACTTTGAGGACTAAGGTGCACTTGACCCAAGTGATGGTATTTTCTGTTGCCTCCTGTGCATGTGAAACCTGGATAATGAAAAAGGAAGACCAAAGAAGAATTGATGCATTAGAATCATGGTGTCCACAAAGAATATTGAATGTACTGTGCACGTTGAGAAGAACAAACAAATCTTTCTTGGAAGAAGTATAGCCAGAATGCTCCTTAGAAGCAAGTAAGGCAAGACTTTGTCTTAAGCACTTTGGCCATATTATCAGGAGGGACCTTACCCTGAAGAAGGATGTTATGCTTGGTAGAATATCATGGAAAAGAAGAAGACCTTCAACGAGATGGTCTTCTCGTTGGCACACTGGCTGCAACATTGAGCTCAAACATAGCAGTGATTGTGAGGATGGTGCAGAACCAGGCAGTATTTTGTTCTGTTGTACATAATAGAGTCACTATGAGTCAAAACCAACTTGATGACACACAACAACAACAATAGCTAAATCATGCTTGGAAAGGAAAAATTTATAATTATTGTTCTGGGGAAAACTAAGACACACAGAATATCATCACTGCAAATGAAAATTTTGCCTTGATAAATATTCAAATACATTTAGTTTTATTGATTGAATGGATGAATGATACATGCTTCTTTGGTATAAATAAGAACTGAACTCTCTAAATGATAGTGTACATTCTAAATTTGATTTGTTGCACTCCTGTATCGAGTATTTCTATTTTTGAAATTTTAGCTTTTAAATTGAACTGTAATATTCTTAGTTTTTCAGCCTGCTTGATTGTGTGGTTTTGGATATGCTTCATTTCTAACTTGTATCTATACATGTAAATTGGAGAGACAAGATAAAATCCTTAAAATGTTTTATTTGAAATATACAATAATTATATATTTGAATTTCTAAGTAGTTGCCTCAATTATCCACTTCATTAAAAACGAAGAACAATTTTTTTGTGTGTAAGACATTTCATAATATTATGATTATTTCTGTATTAGAGTCTGCTATATTTCACAGTAAGATTTATGCCACTAAAAATTAGCGGCATTTCATTTTAAGCCAAGACCACTTAAAATCTACATCTTTGACACTTTACTGAATTTGATATTATCAGAGAATATCTAAGAGAGTAGCTATTGTCTTGCATTTTTTAATCTGCTCTGTGTGTATATTTAAACAGATTAAATATTTAACAATAAAGCTCAGTGAAAGGAAGTACTCAAGTTACTGTTTTCTGACTAGTAAATAACACAGCTCCAGAAACTTGATATATTTCTGGTATCACAGTTTCTCATAGGAGAGATAATATTTATGATATCTTTGATATTTAAGATATCTTTCCAAACTCAAACCCAAACACTGCCATTGAGTTGATTCGACTCATAGTGGCCTCCATTGGGTTTCCAAGGCTGTAAATCTTCATGGAAGTAGATTGCCCTGTCTTCCTTCCATGGAGTGGCTGGTTAGCAGTTATATGCCTTAGGTACTACCTCACCAGAGCTCCTTCCTGTATTATTTTAAGGTTGTGAAAATAACCTGGGATTTTGGGATTTTCAAGTTAATTATAGATTTAGTATAATACAGATAGTACATATTTGTTATAATTCTTTATACTATGCTAAGGGGTGTTGCAGAATTATTCAGATATCCTTTCCCTTCAGAAACCAAATATAAAATTATAGATTGATACATAGCTAAAATAAAGCATTTAACATATGAAGGGACGTGAGTATTCAGAGATTGTAGACATTATTTGCTTGGTTAACTAGTATTATTCTACAATTGAAAAAGTCTAAAACAGAGCTATACACTGGCTAACATATTTTTGGCCTCACATTTGTATAGTTGTACATAGATAAAAGGAATAAATTTATCACGCAAGAGAAGATATTTCTGATGTGCTGTTTTTTTCCTGTGTTTGTGTTTCTTAAATTAATTAATAATTAAAATTTTTATTTATATCTATAGAAAAAATCCTTATATTTAAAGTTCACACATTATTCACAATGCCTATTTAATCTAAACAGTTCTTTATCACTACTTTTCCTAAAGGTATGTTGTTATTGTTATGTGCCGACGAGTTGTACCTGACTCATAGTGACTCCTCCTTGGGTTTCTGAGGCAGTATCACTATGGAAGTATATTGCCTCATCTTCCTTCCGAGTAGTGGCTGGTGGGTTTGAACCACCAGCCTTCTGGTTAGCAGTCAAGTGCCTTAGGCACTACGCTACCAGAGCTCCCTTTCTAAAGGTATAGATTAAGATATTTAAATATATAACCATATCTACTATCTCAACTTCAGATCACACAGTAATAAAGAATAAATAAGTCATAGTCTAATGAACCAGCCATTGAAACACATGTATTATAAACTAATATTTAACTTCTGAAATTCATTTTAACATATACTGAGCTTATGGCTGGGAGCGCTGGTGCTGCAGTGGTGAAGGCATTCAGCTTCTAACCTAAAGGTCAGAGGCTTGAACCCACAAGCAGCTCTGCAGGAGAAAGATGTGGCAGTCTACTTCGGTAAAGATTTACAGTCTTGGAAACCCTATGTGGCAGTTCTGTGCTGCCCTATAGGATTGCTATGAATCAGAATCAACTCACTGGCAGTGGGTTTGGTTTTGGTTTGAGTTTATGGCTGCATTTACAACCACTTTCTAAAATTATATTTCTTAAAGAAAGATAAAGAACCTGAAACAACTTTCTGCGCTTCCTAGTTAATCGATGTTATTTTGAAGTAAATAGGGAAATGTATTTTATGGTTTTGAGGAGTGAATTATTATTATTATTATTATTATTATTACTAGAAAGTCCAACGATTTATTCCAAAGGCAGAAGCAATAGCTAACCTTATTTTCATTAGTGTGCATGGATATTTTTGTCATATCCACTAGAAAATTTACAGATTTTGTAATGGGTTTTAAGGACAAGGTTCCTACTGTACTTATTATTAAAAACAACAACAAAAAAAACCCAAACTCACTGCCATCGAGTTGGATCCGACTCATACCAACCCCTCCTTGGGTTTCCAAGGTGGTATCACTATGGAAGTAGATTGCCCAACCTTCCTTCTGAGGAGTGGCTGATGGGTTTGAATCACCAGCCTTTTGGTTACTAGTCAAATGCCTTAGGCACTATACCACCAGATCAGCTTCGAGAAATAGATAATATCCCATCTAAACAGGCTCTATACTGAATTACCCAGTGTTTTAAATTCTTAGGTTTAATATTTTAGATTTGTGTCTTCTGGAAACTCAGTCATTCTGAAATTTTGCTTCTTAGACTCCTGGAGACTATTTTGGTGGGAAAAAAAAAAGCATTAATTTATTCAAGCTTTTAAGACAGATTCTTTTGTGAAATGGGCTGCCCTGTGTCCATGTTTTAGTTGAGAATATTATTTTATTGTTAAACCATTACCATAAAAGTAACATCCCTCAAAAAGCACATGAGGAATTATGAAAACCTCTTTTAGAGGTAATTCGATACCTAAAAAATTTGTCTCTCCATAAGCAGTTGAAGAAAGTAATTTTTATTTTGCGAGTAAGAGAAACAATGATATAAAAATTCAAAGAAAACCTTATAAGCCCTGCATGATTATAAATAGCTGTTACTGTCATGTTAATATAAAAATATACATGTCATTTCCCAAGTGGCTAAAACTTCTTTCAAATCTGAAAAGTCTGAGCTGCCAAATGAGATATCAAAGATTACAGTAAACTCTGTTAGTTCTAAGTGTGAAATTTTACCAAAGTGGGATAATAATTTTTTTATTCATAAAATGTACATTTTTTAAGTAGCAATGTCTTATCTTTGTAGCATAAAATAAAATTATATTCTGTGAATGATATGGTTTACTTGATATATTTTTTACTTGATATATTATTTTATGCAATTTGGTGGGAATTGGGATAACTGCTTTTGGGACCTGATTTTTCCAAATTATCATCTATATTGATTGAAAAAGGAGAACAATTCACATAACTTTGTACTGGGTAGATGTCTTTTTTTAGGCTTATAAATCTCTTTAAAATCTTGACACTGTTCAAAGGAAGATCTCCAAAATGCATTCCCTGCCCCCTTGCTAAAGAATATCATTAGCAAATTTACTTTAATATCCTCCTTGTTGTGACTTACCCTTTGCAGTTGATAGTCCCTGTTGTCTTTTCTGGAGACCTTCAATCTGTTAGGAAGATAATGGACAATATGGAGACTGATGGCTAAAGCATTGAAACAGGTAGCCAGTTCCACAAGCAAGGATGACGAGGGAACTAGAACACTTACAATAACTGTGGGCGACTCTGGCATGACTGTGGGGAGTAGTGTCACTGCAGACAGAGTGGACGCAATATGTCAGGGGCAAAGAAGGGACTATCTGTCATAGAAAAGACCCTAACTTTGGGTAGCAATGGACTTTAGTGTGCAACTTGCCAACTCTTGCATTTCAGACTGAGAATTGTGTGTTGTATAAATGTGTACGTGTCTGGGCATGAAAGAGAGAGTGTTATTTCTACCAGATTTTTTCCCTCTATGCTTTCTTATTAAAAAACAAACAAACAAACAAAACTTGGTTTGAG